GGATGGAGGGCAGAGGGGCCGGCGGCACTCACTGTGCGGAGGACGCAGAACCAAGATGGCGGCGGAAAGAGAGCGAGCGAGTGAGCGAGAGCGTAACCCACGCCTGTTGCAGGAGGAAGCCGGGCACCAAGGGGGCGGGACCTGCAAGTGCTTCCGGGTCAGGCGCGCTGGCCCTGGACTTCCTTTAGCGGGCAGAGCGGCTGCTCGCCCCGGGTGTGACGGTGACGCCGCCGCCTAAATAAGGCTACGGATTCCAGCGAGCACGCGCGGCCGGCCTGGCTTCAGCCGCCCGGCCGTGGCCTTGACCCCGACAGCTGTCTCAGACGGCGTCCCGGGGTTCCCTTCTCCAACGGAAGGAGACGCGAATTTACGGCGAATGTCCCCGGGCCTGTGTTTGTGCCGTTGCAGTGAAGTAGCCTGTGCTAAAGCCCCAAGTTTTTATTTAGGAATAGACGATTTAGGGCGGCGGAGGTTCGGTTCTCTCCAGGAGAAACGCATTAATCCCAGCATTTGGGAGGCAGAGGCAGGAAGATGTATGTTGAGTTCGAGGCCAGCCTGGTCTACAGAGTGAGCTCCAGGACAGCCAGGGCTAACATAGAGCTTAAACACACAATTCTCTTCGCCTGAGCACTTTCTCTTCTTTGGGCACTTCTCAGCTATTCTAAAACTCACCCGTTTTAGAGTCAGCGTGGGAATATAGCTCGGTTGGTAGAGTGACTGACTCGTCTGCACTTACTGCTGTTTCAGTGCAGGGGTTTAATTCCCAGCACCTACAGCCCATTTGTCTAATTCCAACTCCTGGGGGATTTTAAAGCCCTCTCCTGGGCTCTGGGAGCACTGCAAGCATGTGGTGCACAGACTTACCTGCAGGCAAAACACCCACACTAATAAAACAGAAATTAAGAAAAAAATAAACTGTTTTGAGAATTTGAGTGTAAACGACAAGAGTTAGGATGAATAAAACAGGATTAATTGGGGTAGTAGACTATACAAGGACTAGGAAATTCTGGGATCACCCTCATACACGAGACACTGTGTGACTAAAACCAGAGTTGGGGCTGGGAATATAGCTCAGTTGTTATGCTTTTGAAGTACACGTGAAGGCCTGGGTTTGAAGCTCAGTGCTCATAAAACCAGGCATGATGGTGAAAGCTTGTAATGCTAGCGCTTGGGAACCGGAGCTAAGAGATTCAGTTCAAAGTCATCCTTGACCACATAGAATTTGATGCCAGCCTGGGCTACATAAGACCAATCCTCTAACACACACACACACACACACACACACCCAGCCTGGGCTACAGAATACCAACCCTCTAACACGCACACACACCCCAAATTGTTTTGTGATCTTCTGGGTCATTTGGACTACTTACCCTAGTTTTGCCTTCATCTGTAAAATGGGGATAATAGTTACTGCTTCATAGTATTGTTAGGAAGACCACAGGTAATATATGCACATGACTTAGTGTTCATTATTATTAAAACTGTAGCTAAACCAGGCACTGTGACTCATCCATCTGGAACCACATCTACTTGGGAAGCTGAGGCAGGAGGATGGAGTGCTGGGATTAAAGGCATGGGCTACCATGCCCCACCACAATGTAACTTTTTTTTTTCTACAATGTAACTCCTTAACTCAGCCGGGGAACTTGACATATAGATCAGGCTGCCTCAAATTCAGAGACGTCTGCTTCCCTCTGCCTTTTGAGTGCTGGGATGAATGGTGCTTATCCCCTTGTAATAGGTCTGTTTGCTTGTTTGTTTTGGTTATTAAGTTGGCTATACAGGGTTTCTCAAAGTGTCTCTGTGTAACGAACTTGCTTTGTAGAGCAGGCTGGCCTCAAACTCAAAGATCCACCTGTCTCTACCTTCTGAGTGCTGGGATTAAAAGCTTGTGCTGTTGGACCCAAAAGTGAAGTCCAACTCTGGGAGATGTACCCCACAAAGTCACTCACAGGACACAAGTCCGATGCAAAAGCAAAAGGATTTTATTCCAATGGGTTGGGGTCGTTCCCTGGGAAGAGAACGGCCCCGAGCTTCTAAAGCAAACAGTTTTTTTTATACCTTTTTGGTCACTAGGCAGGAGTGTGACAACATATTGATTGGTTATAACATACATGAGTCATTTAATGATTGGCTGGGAACTGAACTTACAATTTTGCCCATGAGGGGCTTGGAACGTTATTTTGGTTTTTATACCTGCAAGGCCATGGGACAGCTAGTGTTTTTTCTGGGAACATGGTGACCTATATTTATTTTCAAAACTTGGGTGCTCTGGAGCAGGGTAACCCATAACAATTTTTAGAAACCAGACAGTGGTTGAAGATAATAGAAACTAGTAATAATAACAATTTCCAGAGACTGGTCATCATGACCGACCATTTCATGTATTCTTTGTCCCAGAGCTGTGTGTGGCCAGAGTGATTTTCAAATAAATGCTGGTGGCTATCAGGCTGGGTTGAGTTGGGGTCTTTCAGTGCCACCACACCTGGTTCTAAATTGGTTACATTTTAAAATGCCTTTTTGTGGTTAACTAATCTAGTTTCTGAGGGAAAAAGAAGCTAAAATTGAAAATGCTTGAAAAGAATGTTCTATTCGGGCCAAATTTTGTTTACCTAACTCTTATCTTTGGGAATTTTGGTTGGTTTAGTTATCTAGTTAAAAACAATTGCCGGGAAGTGGTGGCACAGGCCTTTAATCCCAACACTCAGGAGGCAGAAGCTAGTACAACTCTGAGTTGGAGGCCAGCCTGGTCTACAGAGTGAGTTCCAGGACAGACAGAGCTATACAGAGAAACCCTTTTCTTGGAAAAACAAAACAAAAAATTTTAAGGAGAAATGGGAGTAAATGAATGTTAGTGCCGTGAAAGGCAAGGGAGGGCTCTTTGGAGGCAGGGGAGGGTGTAGGAGGTGTGGGGAAAAGTGTGGTAGAAATGTATGTATGACATGTCACAGTAAAATAAAAGGAGGCCAGGTGTTGGTGGCGTACACCTTTAATCCCAGCACTCCGGTGGCAGAGGCAGGAGGATCTATGTGAGTTCGAGGCCAGCCTGGTCTACAGAGCGAGTGACAGGACAGCTTCCAAAGCAATACAGAGAAACCCTGTCACGAAAAACAAAGCAAAACAAAAGAATAAAAGGAAAATGTTACTATGAAACTCATTATCTTATATGCTAACTAAAAACATTAATAAATAAGAAATAAAAACTGGGCACAGTGGCTGAGGCTTTTAACCCCAGCATCCAGGAGGCTGACACATCTGGACTTCCACTAGGTCCAGGCCAGCTTAGTCTAGAGTTGGCCCTGTCACTCAGAACAACAAATAGATAAAACTATAAAACAAACCAAAGAGTGGTGTGATGGCTATTCCTGGCTGTCAACTTTACTACACCTAGAATTAAAATCCAAGCAGCTGGGTACAGCTGTAAGGGTTTTTTCTTAATTAAATCATTGAAGTAGGAAGAACCACCCTAAATGGATATTTTTAAGTGGTAAGACCCTGGGCCACACCTTCTGATGGTAGCCTACATAAAGGAAATGGAAGAAGGAAGTTCCTTGTTCTCACTGGCAAGTCCATTCCATCACTGGCATTAGAGCCTTCTCCAGGATTCTCCAGTATACTGAAGGCCAGTGAAACATCCAGCCCCATGAACTGAACAGCTATTGGACTTCACACTGGTAGACAGCTGCTGTTGGACTAGCTGGGCCACAGCCTGTAAGGCATTCTAATTAATCCCCTCCATATATGTGTATATATATTTGTGTGCATATGTATATACACACACACATTTTGTTGTTGTTGTTCTATTAGATCTGCACCTCCAGAGAACCCTGATTAATACAAGTAGGCTGTGGTGTAGCCCAGCCCAGCTCTGAATGTGTGGCAATCGTTCTGCCTCAGACTTCTAAGTGCTGGGATTACAGGTATGAGCCACAACTGTTAAGTTATATGACTGAAGGCTGAGGACATCATTTACATAGAATTATGGGAATGGAGGTGGCACCCAGTGGTCTGAAATGAAAGCTTTGGCACATTATTGCTCACCGAGGACCTCTGTACACAGCCACTGATAGAACTGAGTGTATCAGAAGCCTAAGGGTTATCTTTTTAGAGCATTAAGTTTTACAAAGTTCTGCAGGTTACTTATTCCTTGATTTATTGTTCCTGTCAGGATCCTTAACCCTGTCTTTGGTCCCAGGAAATCTCTTCAACATAAACTGTTTCTCAAAATCAGGACATTCTGCTTTAAAAATTAAGGCACACAGATGAGGCTACCATATTTATTAAATGGTTCTGTTCGACCCACGGTTAAAGATGGAAGGCATTGCTTTGATGGAAGTTGTTTTCTTCAGAAATCTTTTTGTAAATCTAAAACAAAATAGAAAAACAAAATTTAGAAACTAAAAATATAGTTTTTTATAAATTATTTCCATATTCTGATTTATTTAATGCTTCTATTGAATTCATATATAGAGACTTTTTTGAAGCCCACATTATAGGCTGATCCAGTACAGAATGGGAATACAAAGGACTTGTCTGGCAAGATGGTTCAGTGGGGAAGGGCACTTGCTGCCAAGCCTGAAGCCCTGAGTTCAGTTTCCAGGATCTACATGGGTGGAAGGAGAGAACTAACTTCCACAAGTTGTCTTCTGACTTCCACACACATTCTGTGGCAAGTGTGAATGCAAACACACACACACACACACACACACCCCTTAAGTAAATAAATGTAAAACCAAAAAAAAAAAAAAACCCAAAAAACACTAAAGTTACAATAAATCAATATTTTCTTAACTAGATTAGACAAACATTAGTTTTACAAAGACAAGAAACACAAAGTTGCTCATTTGCTGGGAGATTTAAACTATTCAAACTATCCTGCTAGATACAAGGGGATCACTATCTTACCGCTCTTCTTGAGAAGTTCACCTTTCCGGGACTTATCCAGGTTTTCAAGAAACTGTTCAAATACTTTCACATATGGTGCTAGACTGGTCTTCTTATAATCTAAATTACAAAGCATGTACATTAGAGCTAGCACATTGGCAGAAAGAGCATGAATATTTTAAAACAACCAAACAGAGCTGGTTCTTTGAAAGAGAAGATTAACAAACCCTTAGCCACCTTGGTAAAAAGAAAGGAGGAGATACAAGTTAGAGGACTAAAGGTGTCAT